TTATAAACTCATCGTCCATTTTTTTTGTTTCTTTTCACTGTTTTCTGCTCCAACTTATAAACTCATCGTCCATTTTTTTAGTTTCTTTTCACTGTTTTCTGTTCCAACTTATAAACTCATCGTCCATTTTTTAAAGTTTCTTTTCACCTCTTGCTGTTCAAACATATAAACTTATCGTCCATTTTTTAAAGTTTCTTTTCACTGTTTTCTGTTCCAACACAAACTCATCGTCCATTTTTTTTTGTTTCTTTGCACCTCTTGCTGTTCAAACATATTAACTCATGTCCATTTCTTATTTTTTTTTAGTTTCTTTTCACTGTTTTCTGTTCCAACATATGAACTCATCGTTGTTTAAAGTTTCTTTTCACTTTTTTCTGTTTTATTCCTGGTGCCTGACGTTGCCCTTTTGGGAAAAGAATGATCTGAACATCTGAACATGAAGACAGACGTCCAGTCGATTCGTGCCTTGTTTATGGCAGCCAGAACTGCCCCCCCCATCCCCCCCACCTCACACACACACACACACACATACACACACACACACACACACACACACACACACACACACCCCCCTGCTGTTTCTGATATGCCTGAAGCAACTTGGAAAAACTTGAGAAAGCAGTCTTAATTCCCCTGCAGACATGGTGAAAACTCCCTTAAACAGACTCAGCACTTTTAGCTCAATCCGCCAGTTCTAAACACATTTAAAAAAACTTTTTCATCATGTTTTTTCATTCAAAATTCATGGAATCATTTGAAAATGAGTTTTATTTTCCCTGGCTTTGGGGATAGCATCCACTCCTTTTCCGCATTAATTGAAAGTAATGGAGAGTTTACTTAAACACACCGACGCTAATTATTAGAGAAATTGGGGCTTTAGGCTTGTAAAACATGCTTAAAGTTGAGTCAGATTCCGGCAGAGAGGATGATGAGCAGAGGAAATAGCGTTACGTAAACCTGGGGAGAGTATTATTATACCAAAACGTGTCCATTCGGGAGGGTTTTTAAATGCTAATGCGTTCTAAAAGCTAACCCAATGCATTTGGCCTTGAACGCCCCATTACGCCGCCTGTAGAAATACATTTCTGAAAATGTGTTTATCCTCAAAGAAAACCTTCAAATTGCTCAGCTTTTGAACAAAAGTGCTCAAAGATTAGCACTTTCAGGGCTGACGACTGAATCCGGACATGGTTATAAATGTCCCAAATATCAAAGGAAATGGCCCCTTTGGTACTTTCTAAACTCAAAGGGACCAGAATAAAAAGCACCGGAGAGACAGAATCCGACTTGACTCGTCTATTTTTATTTCAGATTTCAGACATCAGCATCAGGGGTGTCAAACTCTGGCCAGACAATACCAATAGACTATGAAAAATGACCAAAAGAAAGGCAGAAAACAGGAGCTTTTTGGACAAGCAAATTTTATTTAGATATTTAATTCTGAAGGCTGCGAATAGAATTTTAAAAAAAAATCTTATTTAAAAAATGAATAACATTAATGTGTTTTTTCATTTGAAATTTGATTTTGCATGTCTCCACTATTAAGTTATATATAATGTAATAAGAATTGCTTGTTCCATTTTCAATCTTAAAGGGGACGTATTATGCAAAACCAAGTTTTTAATCATTTGATTATGTACATTTGGGACTGTGGAGGGCCTATCAGCAGGCAAAGTGTGAAAAAAAAATAACTCAGTCATGTTTTTGTGGGCCGCCTCAGTCTGAATCCAGGAGATAAATCAGGAGGTTTCAGGAGTGGGTAGTTTCTGACGTCATTAGCTCTAGCTCATTATAATATTCCAGCCTTTCACCTGCATGTTGCCCCCCCCCTCAGCTTACTCCGCCTATCTGTGGCAGTCGTCGTGGTAGCGTGAGCGTTAGCATGGTAGCGTTAGCATGGTAGCGTTAGCGTGCCGACGTGGGCACACCTCCCTGAAGAAGTGGGTGGATTGCCTGTGTCTCATTTGCATTTAAAGAGACAGGAACTCCAAAGCGATCGCTCTGAACGGGGCTGTTTTGGGTTAGGGTTAGGGTTAGGGTTAGGGTTAGGGTTAGGGTTAGGCAGGGGGACTGAACTGCTATTGGGCTTCATCCTTATGGGATTTTGACCAAAGCTTGTCACAGATATCACATTAGGACACCAGGGAACTAGTTTAACTTGTTGAAATAGGGTATAATATGTCTCCTTTAAACTCAAAACGCATTCGCAAGGAGTGGAAGTACAAGAACAAAGTACAAAGTACAGAACAAAGTACAGAACAAAGGTCACTCAACGAGGAAGTAACAAATCAAGATCACTCAAAAAACGAAGAGAGCGAAAGCTCATAAACAAAGTAACAAATTAATACTCACAGGGAGTCAGAACAAAACTATTCAATTCAGTTCAATTTTATTTATATAGCGCTACATGACAACATCAGTTGTTCCCAAAAAGAGCAGTTCAGACCCTACTCTGAAACTAATTACAGATTCATTAATTAATTGATTAATTAATTGGGAGTGGACCAGGCAGGAACAAAACTAGGAGGACCAAAATCAAAATCACTCTTTCGAGGAAAACACAATGTTCATGGTGCAAGGCGAGGATTAACTATGGCTTTGGTTCAGCTCAGTAGGACGTGGGAGGAAACCCACTGGCACCAGACCAGGGGAAAACGTGGATTATTTAACTCATGAGGGGAAGGGAACCCCAGGGGAACACCATAGGTGATCAGTAAGACAATTGGACAGGTGACACACCAGGAAGTGCTAGAGACCTGAAACGAGATGAGGGTTACTTATCAAAATAAAACAGGAAATGATAAGACCACATGGAGACAGGACAAAAAAAACCCCAAACAGACTACAGGAGGACTGGGACTCAATTCCACTTCCTAAACCTCTGCAGGACAACAGGTACACATCATGCTCGGGGCTCTTCCCCAGCTGTAATTGAAGAGGCCGGGTTGCCATGGTTTTGAAATGGCTGCTTCTGAGTTTAACTCATTGACTGCCAGCCATTGTCAGAACAGAGAGTCACTCACTGCCAGAGTTTTTTGAGCATTTTGACAGATTTTTCAAGAGCCACAGAATAGTTTGTGCTATGACTATGTAAACA